CCCGATAGGCTTTGAGGGATGCCCAGTTATTCTAGTAATTACTTAAAGATAACCATACAAACTTTTCGAAGCGAAGTGAAGTCAAAGACGCTAATACACAAAAAATCATACCTACCACACACAGAAGAAAGCATCAGAGATGGTGATCCACCAGGAAAGCACATTGACTCGATCTCACTCAATATCACCCTTAGGGCTCTCTTTGATCTTGGATTGGGCTGGATATAGATATATCTGGATATTAGGTATATGTTAGGGATCCCAATACAACAGCTAGTTAGAGTTTACCTGGGCAGTTCAAAGCAGATAGGTTTGAAAGGCACCTATAGGTCGCGAGCATAAGAAAGCTAGTTCCTCGTCATGGGGAACGGTGTTAGCAAGAGGGAGCTCTTTTGGAGGTCGTAGATCTGCTTCGCATAGAATGTGAAAGCGGGAAAGTCTATAATAATGAAATGAGATTTTCTAGCTGTCCGTATTTACTCGCTTTGCTAGTCAGCTGATCTACCCTCCGACTCTAGCAGGGTTTTCCTATCACCAGCTTCCTGACCCCTATCCTACAACTAAGTCTGCCTATCAGCTCTTCAATAAGCAGTCGACGCAATAGGCCTCTTATGTTCCGTCTTGCTGACCTCCTTTCGATCTCTTTTAGCTTCTTTGTTGGCCGGCTAAGTCTCTTTAGCTCTCGAACAAGCGTTCCGCTTTCCGTCTTTCCTAAAAGCACATGTTATCCCACTCGTGACTCTAGCGAGAAAGGTTCACAAAGTGGTCTTGGAGGGTTTATAGGTCTTCTGAAAGCTGATGTTGTTAAAGGCCTAATCCGATTGCCCGCGAAAAAGCCCTCCCCACTCCAATAGCACTGCTAGTTTCATGTTCACCGATAGGCTCAGAGGCTGATGCAGGAAGTTCTAAGCGTAGAAGAATTGTACCCTTCTATTTACAACTAGATATGAGGCCTTCTTTTTTATGAAAGAGAGCTGACCGAGGTTTGGAGCTTGATGGTAAAAAATGCCCGGGTACATCTCTTAGTTCGTCCATCAACTCACTTTGGAAAGAATGCCAACCAGCTCAACCATACCCTCGACACGGGAAATCTTGCGCCTTCGTATATATACACAAACCGGGATATTTTATTTCGTAGCCACCTCTTGGGAGAAAAGAATTACCTCACTAACCAATTCTAGTACGAGAGTCTGGTATTATGTTTAGATTTGCAGCTGTTCGCTGCTACGCTACATCTGTCTCACCAGATCAGCTTTTTGGAACTGCGTGCCGCACTCACGAGCGAGAAAACTGAAAGAGTCAGCTTGTTTGTTAGCTGTTGAGTGAGCTGATGATACCCAGTAAAGACACCTGTATGCGCCCTAACCTGCTTCAAAGCATGCCAGCCAGTCAATCCAATCCTTAAAAAAATCAAGGTCTTGGCCAATAAAACGATGTTGGAGATATGAAACTCTGTCTCTTTGTTGGGTTAGACATTAGTAGGGGTTGGACGATGTCCATTCCGATTTAAGGTTGTTGGTTAGGCACGGCATTCCTTGACTTCGCTTCGCCAATACTTCTGACTGAACTGAACAAGCAACGGATTGAGCAACTAGCGCGAAAGCCGTTGCGCTAACGCGCATCCGTTTTCTTGCTGCTTCAAAAAGTTTGTTCCCAAAGGTCAAGCTATTTCATTACAACATTCCTTAATTGAAAGACTTTTGAGTCTCCCAGTGAATAAGCGTCTCTAGAGACGGTACTAGATTGGAACAAGCGATCTGCGAACATCAACAAAGACTAGGCAGCGGAACTTCTCTAACTCTTTTCAGTATTTCATTCGCAAAGGAAGTAGCTCGCCTAAGACCTATTGAGTCAGTCACCCTACTTCTCTAAAAGAAGAGCAATGTCACAGGCGGCTATGCGACAAGTAGCTCTCAGAGGTTCAGTCCACTCATTCCGTCATAAAGGTCTTTCCTACTTATGTTCCAGCAATCGATGAACGTTCCATCCGGGCCCGGGCCTTCTCAATCAATATTCCCTCCAAACTTCTATGACTGAACTTCGCTTCGAAAAGTTCTTAGGGTTCGACTCGTATGCACTGCTGGTATAAGCGTCTCCTTTGGTACCAAGGAAGGTAAGGCGCATTCTATAACAGCGCTCTTATTCTGTCAACAGGGGCAGTGCCAGGGGGAAGGAAGCAGATGGAATCCAGCCGGACACTGGCGGCATACTAGCTCGCTGTTCCAGATAACTAACATATCAACTCAGCCCTCCTCTGGAACTACAAAAAAATAAGAATAAGTTCAATGAATGTCACGCACGGCGCTGCCGAAGAAGCTCTTTTAAGAGCCCACCTCGGATACTAAAGAAAGGAGTGGCGTCACAGGCAACTTCACTCTGTGCATCCTTTGGTTGTGAGCCCCGCCTAGAGTAGAGTGAGGCCCTAAGGGAAGGTCAATGTAATCGAACGAAGTCATAAAATTCCAGCAAAGTTTCATCTCCAGGGGCGAAAGANATAGAAGCTTCCCCGCTTTAAACCTTCCTTACTGCAATGCATTCAATCTATATTTAAAATTGTAGCTGTGATAAAGAAATCTCATCATTATTCGTGAAACTAGGTCTTGAGGGAATAATCTATTATATGGCGCCAGGTAATCAGGCGCGTTAGCCGTTGGTAATATAGGATTAACTAAAAAAGGAAGAATATATGTTCCCTAGCTTGTGTAGCCTATGCGAAGCAAGCCCACACTGGCTAATAGATTCAAATTCTTTTCTTTCTTTTCTATTAGTTTTTCAGTTTAAGGATTAGTCTTCTTGAGCCCCCCATATAGGGGTGAACAGATAAGCCTAAACCATCTTACCGTTCATCAGTAGCAAAAGCCGTATGATGGCGGAATTCTGTTTACTTGCTTCTATCCGCTTACGCAGACTTCTTTTTGAGTCAACAATCCTTGTGACAAGATCAGTAAGGGTCAAGTCAACCCCAGGCTGAGACTCTCTCACCAGACTCGTCCACTCCTGGAGCCAAGTCGTTATTGCCTTTCGCCCCTACAAACGAAGCGAAGCGAAGTGACGTTATAGAGTTTGGGAGAGGAATTTAAGCAAGACCTTCTACACATGGTCTAATCAACAGCAAGATAACTTAATCCTTCGGATTA